TTGCCTGAATGACAAAGTGGTCTACAAAGGTTGCCTGAATGACAAAGTGGTCTACAAAACAATACAATCTGACTCTTTATTTTTCTTTTTCATTGCCCCTTTAACTCTGTCCAGCATAAAATCCACGTTTTTCAGAAGCACTGTCACCTGTCTGCGATTGCTGGTGTCCCTGTTGTTGAAGACATGGCACCTCTTCCCACATTTCTCCACTAGGGCTTTGAGTTCTGTCTGAGCATTCTTTAGGAAGTCCTGAATGGTGATGCCCTCCAGATCATCACCATAACTGAACAGAATTATCATGCGCCGTGTGACGTCTCGGCCAAACATGCGTTCAGTCTGCTCCACTAACTTCTTCTCTCCCTCTGTGAAGCGACCCAACTGTAACACTAGAAGATAAACACAGGGACCTTCTGCTACCAAGGACCTACAGGTGTCAATGTGGGGCTTCGGATCAGGGAGAGAGTCACCAAAGAAGTCTGGTGTGTCGATGACAGTGACCTGTCTCCCCTGAATGGACTCTGTCTGTTTTTCACACTTTGTGGTCACTGGTTTGGTGCTGAGCAAGGATTGGAACACATTTTTGCCCAGTATGGTGTTTCCACAGCAGCTCTTCCCTGAGCCTGTCCTGCCCAGAAGCACCAGTGTGACATGTGCTGCTGAAAGACAGATATGTCTGTAAAGTGGCAGCATGAGATATTAATCCTGAAGTTCATGACTACATGCCCGTAACACATAATACCACATATATCCACCTTTCATCATTGTTTATCCAGTACAGGATCATGAAAAGCATCTTGACACACACATGCACACACACTCTCTCACACACACACACACACGCACACACACACACTCACACTCTAATGGCCTATCATGGTGTTCTGTTTGTATTTCAGTTAAATCTAAAGCTGACTAGATTCACTTCTCACAGTGGTAGTTGAAATTTCCCTCAGGAATCTCTATTGCAGCTTAGAAAACTTCTGCATGTATTAAATATTTATTTTTTCTGTGCTATAATTGCATTTTTATGCTGAAATTCACTATAACCAGTTGGAATAATACATGAAAACTGAAAGTGCTTTTCGTGTAAAGTCAAACAACAAAGTGACATTGTCTAACAGGAAGACGGAGAATTCTGAACCCTTACCGTCAGCTGCTGCCATACCGGTCCTGCTGCTCTCCGAGGATGATGAGAATGTGCTCTGATCACGGTAGCACTGGGTAAAGAAGAACCTTCTCCACTGCTGGGATTGAGAAGAGACTGATATATTTCACTTACTGCCAAGTAGGAGGGAGGCGGGACTACTGGGGAGGAGTGGAATCATTTTAGGTCACAAAAATACTGACAGAACCTGAAAGAACCTGAAAGAACCTGAAAGAGCGGTAACAGACTCCGCTCCTCTCCAGGGAACAATGAATCTCAGCAAAGACACAGGTTGGTCACTTGTAGCATCTACTCTTTTCATCACATTTCTATGCTAATTCATTTTTGTTTTGTGTAATTAGACACGTACTGTATAACAACACTATAGATGAAGGTTTATCTTTTAGAGCAATGTACAGATACAATTCAATAATTGTCAGTTATATGAGTTAGTTGGGGGGAAATAAAGAATTTGTTTATGCTTTTCAAATGGTCTTTTTGGGTCTGTGTGTGAGTTTTTAATGGCCCTGTTTACACTTGGTGATCAGATCATAGGTAGACAGCTGAAACACGTCGCCGTTTGCACCCGTGTCTCTCATGCATGTCCAAGGTGTCCAGCTGATGACTTATGTTACAAGTTACAATACTACTGAGAACAGTTATTGTAACGTCCTTGTGAGGGACACATCCTGGATGCATTTGTGTTTACATTACAAAAAAAATGCGGTCAAATGCGTCCCAGACCACCCCGGCAAGTGGTTTGAGTGACCGGATAACAATGCGTCTTGGTGGTCGTTTTCACTTTTATTTAGCTCTGTCTACTTCCGATCCAATCAGCCAAGAAGAATTTTAAGACCAAGTGTAAACAGGGCCTATGTGTAATGCTTAGGCATTTAAAAAGCACAATATAGTTATAAATAAATATACTGTAATGTAGTTATTTACAAACACAGTGTGGTTACTTTCATTTTCAGATAAACAGAGGCCTAGCGAAGATCAGGTTTATGAGCCATCGCACCACTTTGACTGCCCCCAAATTAGGATTGTCCTGCTGGGCAAAACAGGAGTGGGGAAAAGTGCAGTTGGCAACACCATCCTGGGCAGGAAACAGTTTCCTTCTGCACTCAGGAGTGTGTCAGTCACCGGCCAATGTCAAAAGGAACATGCTGTCATATCTAATAGACACATTGCTGTGGTGGACACTCCAGGTCTGTTTGACACAGAAAAGCCCAATGAGATGATAAAGAAGGAGATGATAAGATGTATTCAGTTCTCCTCCCCAGGGCCACATGCTTTCCTGGTGGTGATGCAGCTGACCAGATTCACAAAGGAGGAGAAGATGTGTGTCGAAGCTCTGCAGGAGATCTTTGGTGAAGAAGCAAGCAAGTTTATGGTCATCCTGTTCACTCGTGGAGATGATCTTGAAGACCAAACCATTCGTGAGTTTGTTGAAAATGGCGAATCCACTCTGAAGGAGGTGATCAGAAAGTGTGGAGACAGGTATCACGTCTTCAACAACAGGGACATGTCCAACAGAGCCCAAGTGAAGGAGCTGTTGGAGATTATTGACCGCATGATGGCCCTGAATGGGGGAGGCTTCTACACGCAGGAGATGTATGAGGAGGCAGAGGCCAAGATTAGGGAGAAGATGGAGGAGATTAGGAGGAAGGAGTCTTTTGGTCAAACCAAGAATTTCTGGCTGGATAAGGAAAAGGAAGAGATTCATTACAGACAGAAGGCAGAAAGGAGTGACCTCAACTGTGCCTTTGAAGAGAAGTTAAAGCATAAAATGAAGAATGCATACAAAGTTGCAAAACACATCTTCTGTACGAAGAAAGCACCTCCCAATTTGAGCAGATGAGACTGGCAGTGCCCTTAAATGGTCCACACAATTGTATATGAAAATTCTAAGGTCTAATACTCGTCTATGTTGGTTAAAGAATGTCATTTGGATTCAACATCAAATCTGTCTTTTCATTCATATGATTTAATCTGTATGATATATTATTTTTAAGAAACATTTTATAATTTTATAATTGCTACTTTCGTTCTTTGACTGTGAATTTGTGAGATTAACTGATAGCAGTAAATTCATTGTTTTAGATTCATGTTATTCAACTAAATCCAAACCAGAGTAATGTCACTATAACAATTATAACAAGAATAATTCATCTTTCGTTTTTAAAACTGTGTATTGGGTACAAATTTTCATCGTTCTCACACCTTCCTTACGTTGAAACTTCCTTACGTCGAGCCAGATGGTCATAACTCAAGGGGGATCTCTACATAAAAAATCATCAAATATTAACCTCTGAAGTTGGGGGGAAACCTATTACTGAAGAATATTGCAGATGTTATTTGAAGGTGAGCTGCCCATTTGGTTTCTGTTCCAATAAACCATTTCAATGATGCAATAACAATAAACATTTACAGTAAAATTATAACTGAGCAGCTGATTCAAACACGAAACATGATACCAAGCAAGTTGTGGCTACAAGAATCATTTAAAGTGATAATATCACAGGCATTTGTGAAGAATGATACCAGGGGCTCTATTTTGACAATGTAACACAACCTTCTGATGGCTGTATTGTACTGTTATCCCTGACATATCTATATATTTACACGCTCCACCTGCAATAGGACTTGCAGGTCCAGGACAGGACTATTTAGCCATCAAAGAACTCACAGATAGACAGAAGTGGACGTCATCATTAGTTGTTGTTGGGCACATTATCTGTCATAATGCCAGCTATCTTGGATATATGCATCTGCAGCTCTGCTGGTCCAAAGACCTTTTTGTGCATGAAAAAGTTAACTCTCTAAAAGGACTCTCTGTAAAGCTTTGGAATTTCTCTGTACATGCAGTAATGTCTACCTGGCATGTCATACTTTCTGTGTAACTGCCTGTCTTTCATATGTGTATAATGGGACTTGGTCCAAACAAATATACTCTGTTCAGTCTCTGGAATCTCTTGCACACTTTGAGTAACACTCTAGTGCAGATTTGATGGAAGGCTGATTAGTACTTTCTGGGCTGGTGCAGCTTGCCTTCTGCACACCTTATTGATTTATCACATTAACATGTAAATCGTATCATAACATTCCAGATGTAGGATTATATAATGGTGGTCTGGGATTATATAATGGTGGTCTGGGATTATATAAATGCAATTTCACCCGCACATGGGCTAACAGGAGATTAAAACTGACAAAATGACACCGCTGTGGTCTGTATGCATCAGTAAACAGACACGATTACTAGTGCATTCCGATGTGCTCTGATCATCCTCATTCCATGATGGCAGCAGTCCATAAAGCCTGACAAACTTAGGAGTGGCAAAGCCAAACCCACACAAATGCAGGCCTGCAAGAATATCTGGAATGTTCTGCACTTTAAATTTCGAAACTAGTGCCCCCCTTAAAAAACACTGCTAGATGAATGTGAAAACCTAATCACACATTAGGCTCTCACTCATCCAATTCACCCAGGTGACACTGATTGGGCTGATTGTCCTTGCACACGGCACCATAGCACAGTGAACACCAGTGTGTGACAATGACTCTGCCCACTCCTCCAGATGCAGTAAAGCTCTCAGTAAATAAGTGAGTGGGGCAGTTGCTCCTTGGTAGGCGTGCAGCGGTTGTGAGCTGACCCTTCACAGTAAAATGGCATTGAGAGTAATCACTGAAAACCTCCGTCCCGCCACCAGAGGTAAGCAAGGTGCAGTGCTGCTATATAAGAAGGCATTGTAGGTAAGATCGGAAAAATAACAATGAAAAATAAACACATCACTTCCTTCTCGTAAGACATAATTGTCATTATATTTCCTTCTGCATTACACATTCAAAACTGTATGGGATACTTGAGTTAGTTGTGGGAAAGTGACAGCAAATGCTACATGGACAATAGGGCAGAAGGCAGGGTGGACAATCTGGACAATAGGGCAGAAGGCAGGGTGGACAATCTGGACAATAGGGCAGAAGGCAGGGTGGACAATCTGGACAACAGGGCAGAAGGTATTTTGCTGTAAAAGGGTTACATGGCAGTTACCTGCATGTTGGAAAAGTTTAAGAAAGTTAAAAATGTGAACCATCAACAAGGCCATTTTTGGTCAATTTTTGTTGAACTTGCCATATCCACCAATCAAATAAAACATTCCCTAGAAATCCAGCTGGCAAAAGACTCCAGCTGGTCTACATAATCGTGACAGCAGCACAGAGATCTGCTCATAATGGCTTCAGAGTCTTGTGTTGATGTTTATACACCATATACAGCATGAAGTAGCCTTGACTGGATCTATTAAAATGATTCTGGGGTTGGGACACTGATACACGGTAAACAAAGTGGGAAAGTCCAGCCACGACCATCTGCTGAGCTGGTCAAAATTCTTCCGTTCAGGTAGATGGTCGAATAACTTACACAAGAAACTTACACAAAATATATTTATACATTTACTGAGAGGTTTGATTCTGAACTAACCTGTCAGGGTCAGCCCCTGCTGTGGTCCTTCCGTGTCCCTTCCCCGTTTGGCCAGCAGGTGTCGCTGGTCATCCCGTTCTTTATGTTAGTCTTTGTTCTCCCCTGTTACCTGTCTGGTCATGTGCCTCAATTTGTTGAGCATGTGATTGGCTGTGTTCCCTTCTGTCCTGTGTTTGAATCCCACTGCCTCTGTTTTTGTATTTTTGATCCCTAGCGTTTCATTTGAGTTTCTCTAGTTCTGGTGTTTGATTTTGTAGTTGTTTTTTGTTTTGTTCCTTGTGGCCCTGCTTGTCTTTACCTGTCTGTAATTCCCCAGTGTTGGTTCCTTATTCCTTGGTTAGTTCTTAGTTTCCCTGTTTTTTAGTTCCCTTGAGTTTAGTAGTTAAACCTGTGCCCCGTTTCCCTGGTCTTTGTAAATTAGCCTCACCTGTCCTGTGTTAGTCTCGTTACCCCTTAGTATTTAAGTCCCTGTATCTGTTCTGTTTGCTAGTGGTTCATTGATTGTGTTTGATGGTTGTTATGTCAGATATTCTCAGTATTAGATGTGTATTTAGTCTTTGTTATTTAGTCTTTGTTATTTAGTCTTTGTTATTTAGTCTTTGTTATTTAGTCTTTGTTA